CTAGAGAAGGATAATTTAGCCTTTCCTATGAATGTATTGATGAAATATTAGCATTATTAAATAACAGCTTAGAAATCTTTTTAGTTTAACAATTAATTACTCACAATGTCATATATTTCATCAACATTAAGAAAGACTTTTGACAATTTTTCCCCTGCATTGGACTTGGAAGAAAGCTGGTATTGGCTACCTTCTGGTTTTATAGATTTTTTTTTAAAGATTTATTTTTATTATTTTTTCATTGGAAAGGCGGATATACAGAGAGGAGAGACAGAGAGGAAGATCTTCCATCCGATGATTCACTCCCCAAGTGAGCGCAACGGGCCGATACTATGCCGATCCGAAGCCAGGAGCCTCTTCCGGGTCTCCCACGCGGGTGCAGGTTCCCAAAGCTTTGGGCCGTCCTCGACTGCTTTCCCAGGCCACAAGCAGGGAGCTGGAAGGGAAGCGGGGCTGCCGGGATTAGAACCGGCGCCCATATGGGATCCCGGGCGTGCAAGGCGAGGACTTAACCACTTGCGCCACCGCGCCGGGCCCTGGTTTTATAGATTTTAAGCCTTATCGACCTTCGCTCACACATTTGCTTCAAGACACAAAGCAGCACAATTCTCTAGTTTTGGAACTTTGACATGTTACATCTCGATGAATCTGCACTAAGCCAATTCCAGTCGTTGACACATGGAAGTTTGTGAATCTTGAGATGTTAAACTAAGTCCAAACTAAAAGTAAATATTTTAAGTTGCTTTTAATCCAAATGCTCAGATACCTGCAAGCATCCCACAGGAGCCAGTGTAAAATGTGGTAGAATCAAGGGCAGTCAAGGTAGAAAGAAACAGTCATTTTACGCTATGATTCAACAACTTTAGTTCACAGATACTATGAAAACTTATGTCCATGTCTTTTGGACCCTCTCATAGAAAGGATGCTCTTGAGAGGGAAGACCAGGCTCCATTGGCTGAGAAGTAAGCTCAAGAGAAGGAAGAACATTAAGTAACGCAGCTCAATAACTACAGCAGAAAACAAAAACAGCATTCAAATTCCACACGATAAGTTAAGTGGAAGACAAAATACTGATAAGAAATAAACATGGGCATAGCAGTGAAACCATCAGTGACGGGATTTGTATTTCTGGAAACAGAAAAAGCACAGCAGCTATACTTTTGCTCTTCCTCCTATTATTAGATCTAATAATCCTGTGTAAGAAGACTTTGAAATGTGGGAACAAGAAAGGCGATTAGTTAAGAACCTAAAAACCTAAGGAAAAAAATGGTTGTAGATTTGCTGGGCTTTCTCTCTGTCTTTATGTGCTCTTAATTACCAAATACCAACAATGTAGAAAACCGAATTCCTTTGGATTTTCTTTTTCCCTTATATACTAAGTATATAACTGGAGAAAATGGAATGACAAATAAATTCAATGGGATCTGTGGTACTATAGAAAAAAGATACAGCACTTTTGCTATTAGAACAATGATAGGGCTGGAGAAGTGCTTGAAACAATAGGGTACTCATAATAGGTCATCATAAGCTGAGCAGACCCCAGATGCGATAAAACCAAGGATAGCTATTCTATAATGCTTTATGTTCATTTGCAACAGATATTCTAACCATTTACTACAAACTGAGTTGCTATGCGAAATGTACTGAGTTTAACTTTCCAAGATTGGAAATCTTGACAATGTCAAAACATCAGCAGGCTCGAATCTCTTGAGATTCCAGGGAAAAATCTTTCTTCCACTTGTATAAGCTCTGCAGATTTCTCTGCTGCTCCCTCCCCTGTTCTTCCTCTGCCACTTCCTCTATCTATAAATCACCCCAGCTCCCCTTCTCTCTTCCCTCTCCTATTCTGTCCCTCTCCTATCCCATCCTTCCCAACACCCACTCCTTCAAAAATATCCAAATCTTACATTTCTCTCTTTTTTTTAAAAAAAATTCCAAGTTACAATAGAGATTTTTTTTTAAAGATGATTTTCCCAGAGATGGATTAGGAGAAATTTTCAATAAGGAATAGACAGAGCAGAATGGTAGACTAGTGGAACAGTGCAATCGTGAGGAGAAAGAATAGCTACACTGAAACCAACTGGGGAATGCTATGACCTCTAGGCAAGGGGAGGGAGACTGCCATGACCCCTGCCACTACAGGCTTTGACTTCAAAATATTCCATAGTGCCCATCGCCTTTGAGTCCGGCCTGGAAAGCTGGTGTGTTGATGCAGTGGATTCAATGCACTGAAGTGGAGCTGTTGCTGAGCTGTGTCCTGAGCTGCAGAACAGTGGAAAGTTCCACTGTTGTGGAGGGACCCAGGGCTGGGCTGAGGTCGTTCGAAGGGTGGAGAGTGGACCCCTTACACTTTGTCATTGTGTGAAGGGCAAACAGCATGGAGCTGACACTGTTGTGCTTCATGGATTGTATAATCTGCAGCTATCCAGCCTGACTGTGGAGACGCAGAGCTCTTTGCATGCTGGAGGAGGCTGCGGAACAGGTGGATCAGCGCTCTGCACAGTGTGCATGCGGGCAGGTGGAGTGTGCAGGCATCATGTGCTCTGCTTGTTCTGGTGAGTTGACTGATTCACTCTGACCTACAAAAGGCTTGGGGTGGAAGACACTAGTCTTCTAGAACAGGCACAGTGAAAATACAGTGGAAAATCTCAGCAATCAACTTAGGCAAAAGAAAGAACACCCATCTAGAAGGCAGTTCTTTTGAAACTACTCAGTGAGACAAACAAGACAGAGAGAGAGAGAAAGAAAGGAAAAAAAATAGAAAACCTGAGAATAATATTCAGAATCTATGGGATAGCAACAAATGACAATATATATGAGGGTCAGAAGTTCAAAAAAGGAGGGAAAAGCAAATGGCTTAGAAAACATACTCAGTGAACTAATGACAGGAAATGTTCTGAATCTGGAGTTAGTTAGCACATCCATGCGTGCGAAGGTTACAGGGCCCCAAAAAGCAATTATCAGAAAATATCCTTGTGATACAAGATGTTACAGTGACACTTTCAAAAGGAAAACATAGACAATATCCTAATATCTTCAAGAGAGAAAAACCAGGTCGTCTGTAAAGGAATCCTCATCAGAATGACAGCAGATTTTTCAGCAAAATTCTACACGCTAGAGACTGGAGACATATGATCCAAATCCTAAAAGAAAAACTCAGAAGAAAGATCTTCATGCAAAGACCTTTATGATCGCTCATTCATAAATAAAGGTAAAATAAACATCTTCTAAAACTTAAACAATTAAAAGAACTTCTCATCATGCAGCCAGCCTAACAAAAGTTAAGAGTATATGTCACAACGAGTGGAAAGACAATCAGCAGAATGACATAATGTGACAGCAGAAAACTTAGTAGAAACAGAAAGCAAGTATACAAAGCAAAATCCAGGGATTTTTATTTAAAAAATGGCAGGACCAACCCATTACATTCCAAAGTAACAAATAAGGGCAAAATTAGGTTAAATTCCCCAATTAAAAGCCACAGGCTCCTTTCAATTGGAGAAAAAAAAATCTCCATGCTGCTTACAAGACACATATTTCACCAATAAACGCATAATATACATACAGCCTGAAAGGAAGGGAAAATACCCAAGTAAGTGGAAATTAGAAATGATCCTGAGTAGCTACATTCATGTCAAACCAAACAGACTTTCAGACATCTGCTCTAAGTGATAAAGAAGATCATGATGTAACCAATAACAGATCAGTTCAATAAGAACACTTGACTACATGACAGGTATATGCATATGACGCTAGAATACACAGCATTAGAAGATAAATGTTGATGAGTCCAAAGGGAGAAGTAATGGGAGAACTTCAAAGCCCCATTTCAACAGTTATAGGTCAATCACCAAAACAACAAAATTTAACAAAGGAATAAAAGAGTGAATGTACACTCTAGACCAAAGAACAGACACAGTATACACGCTCTTTGTGAGCGCATGAAATATTCTCCAGAATAGACCATCTACTAAATGGTAAAAACATTCTCAAGAAATTCAAAACACTGAAAAATTTGTCACATATAATTTTTTAAGATTTATTTTTTTATTGCAAAGTCAGCTATATAGTGAAAGGAGAGACAGAGAGGCAGATCTGTCCAATGAGTCACTCCCCAAATGATTGCAATGGCAGAACTGCATCAATTGAAGTCAGGAGCTGGGAACTTCATTCTGGGTCTCCCACTGGAGCAGGGTGCAGAGTCCCAAGGCTTTGGGCCGAACTCTACTGCTTTCCCTGGCCACAAGCAGGGAGCTGGGTGGGAAGTGGAGCTGACTGGATTAGAACCTGTGCCAAGATAGGATTCTGGTGCGCTCAAGGCAAGGACCTAGCCTCTAGGTCACCATGCAGGGCCCTCCCATACCTTTTCTAACCACAATGAAATGAAACTGGAAATTAACAGCAGAAGAAACTCTACCAAAGAGTCTACACATGGAGAGCCAGCAGGACGCACCTGTAAGAACATTGAGTCACAGCAGAAATCGGCAGGAAGATTTAAGAATTCCTTCAAATGAATGAAAATGAAAGCAATATATCCAAACATAGGATACAATGTTAGCAATGCTAACAAGAAAGCGTATAGCAATAAGTGCCAACAGTAGAAATTGAAAAAGTATCAGATTAAAAAAAAGGGAACAAGAAAAGCCCGGTGCTCTATGCTCCCGCGCTGCTTGGAGAGCGAGTGTCATGGCAGCCTGCATGGAGTTGGCAGCAGTGTGCCGCGGAAGTGGGCAAAGTCATTAAAGCCAGGGAAGGACTTGTGCCTGCTTGGGTGGTGGAACGTCCTGGGAAGGAGTGAAAGCAGCTGGCTGTGACGCCATCCCGAGGGCCTGGGCGTGTCTCGGGCAGGAGGTGGGCCCCTCATTGTGCTGTCACCTCCGGAGCTCCGAGTTCTGGGTTAGTCCCGCCAAGGTCGCGGTTGGAGAAGGTTCGGAGGGATGGTCGGGACGCACAGGATGGCGATTTGATGTTGAAAAACGGCTTCTCCAAAACCCACAGCCATGTCTTCCTGGCTAGGGAGCATCGGCTCTGGTCTAGGACTTTCTTTGGGCCAAGTGGGAGGCAGTTTAGTGTCTCTCACCGGCCATATTTCTAATTTCACAAAGGACAGGTTCCTGAAAGGAGCAGAGGAAGTAGTAGAATTACCAACTTCTGGAAGAGGTGAAATTGAACTCCTTCATTTGTTTTTCAAATCAGAAAATGAAAGGCTCCAAAACCAATGTACTGATCTTGAAGAGAAACATGAATTATTACAGCAGCAAATGAAACAACAATCAACAAGTTACACAGACCAGCTTCAGCACAAAGACAGGGAGATTAGCTACCTTAAAGAAAGACAGGCGGAGCTGCAGCACCAGCTACTGAAGCTGCAGTCAGGCCTCTCAGCACCTCGCTGCATTGCTGTCACCTATACCACATCGTCCACATTCAGCTACGGGGGCAGTCAGCCCACACCAGCATTCAATGAGGAGGACATGGAGACTATTGACTTAAATTGCTCAGACGAAGAAATTAACTGGCAGCCCAGGGAAGTGTCAGGGCTTGAATCCTCCCAAAACATCAACGAACTGGAGGGTAAACCAGGAGGCACAACTCCAAGGTTAACTTGTGCCGAACATGAAAAAGAGATTTTGCAGAGAGAACACAAACAGCTGAATGTGGGAAATGGACAAATGGTGCTTGAATATGAGACGTTACGAGTGGAATGTGAGAGGCTGGCATATTGTGCTGATCAACCTGTGGAGCCTGCTGCGGGCGAAGAAACCATGCAGAGTGCTGTGGAGGAGGAAGTGCTCAGGCTCCAGCAGGCACTGGCTGACAGTGAAAGTAAAAACAAAACACTGAGTCAGCAGGTAATGTTAATGAAAACTCAGCTATCAAACGGACACAATGAAGGCGATGTTATCATCAATCAACTAAAAGAAGATCTAGATCATGAAAAAAAGCAAGTTTATCAGCTGGAGAAAGACAAAGCTAACATTTCTGAAGAATTGGAGGAGGCGAGAAACAATTTAATTCAGAATGAATGTGAGCTCCGTGCTTTGCATGTAGCCAAGCAGGAGCGTGAAGATAAACTACAAGATTTAGTTGATCAGCTGAATAAAGCGCAGACAAATATTGAAGACATCCAGAAAGAGAATCTGCATCTGAAAAGATGCGTTCAACAAAATGAGGAGGAGCACAGCCAAATGAGAAAACAATTAATGACTACTCAAGACCTTAATAATAATTGCAACAATTTACTGAAAGAAAAGGAAACCCAAGTAAGAAACTTAGAGCAGCAGCTTTCAGAAGCTGAAAAGCATGATGAAAATTTACAGAAAATTGCATTTGATCTCAGAATAGAAAATGAGAAGTTGATTTTGGCATGTGAACAGGTGAAACATAAATTAGAAGAGTCTGTTGCTCTAAACCGTCAAGTTTCTTTAGAAAAAGACACGATTCTGGAGACCCTGAGAAGGGAAAAGCACCAGCTAGAAGCTGACTTAGGTGGCGCTGAGAAGAGGCTGTTGGAGGAGGCCAACAAGCACAAGCAGAGCCTGGAGGAGCTGTCCAGCTCACACCAGTTGGATTGTGCTGTCCTTAAGCAGGAACAGGATCATTTACTGGAACTGAATCAGCAGAAGGACCTGGAAATAGCGGTTCTGAGAAAGAGCATTGAGCAAACAGACATATGTCATAAACATACCGAGGAGCTTTTGTCCTCTAGTTTAGAAAAGCAGGAGCAGTTGACACAATTTCTAAATGAGAAGGAAAATTACATTGAAAATCTTCAAGAAAAAAGTTCAGAGCTGCAGGCGGAATTGGACAGATGTATTGAGACTTCTAAAAAGAATGAAATCTTACAACAGACGGTAGAGGCAAAGGATAGAAGCCTGGGCTGCATGAAACAAGAAAAGAATCATCTCCAGGAGGAGCTGGAGCGGCTCAGGGAGCAGCAGAGTCAGGCTGTGCACAGGGTTGAGACCAGACTCGCCGACCGTGTGGCCAAACTAGAGTCAGAGGTGACCCAGCTGACCATTGTCAAGGGACATCTGGAAGAAGAAATTAAAGAACACCTAAAGATCATTGAAGATCAGAAAAGGAGTAAGAGGCAGCTGCTGAAGGCGATGGAGGAGAATAAGCACCAGTATGAGCAAGTGAATGAAGTGCAAAGGCGGCTGATCTTAGAGAAAGAGGAGGAGATTAAGAACCTGCAGAACACAATTGAGCAGATCAAAACCCAGCTGCCCGAGGAAGGACGGCATACCCCCATCGTTCGCCTTGAAAACAAAAGTGAAAACCATGAACTCTCTAAAGCAGAAATAGAAGAGTTAGTAAAAGGAATACAAGAGCGAGATTTGGAGATTAAGCTTCTAAATGAAAAGAATCTAACTAAACAAATTGGCCAACTATCTACACATGAAGTAGGAAAGATAACCCAAATAATTCAGCAGAAGGATTTGGAAATCCAAGCTCTGCATGTTAAAATGTCTTCACCGTCCTACTCCCAGGACATCCTTCAGCAGCAGCTGAAAGCCTACGCTAGGGAGAAAGAGCAGATATTAGCTGTTTTCAGTGCCAAAACGAGGGAAAACAGCCATCTCAAAATGGAGAATCACAAAATGATGGACATAGTGTTTGCCAAAGAGGCAGCGCTAGTTAAACTCCAAGACGAAAACAAACAAATGTCCTCCAGGTTTGAGAACAACCCCCAAGAAATGTTTAGAGAAACGCTTCAGAATCTGTCACGCATCATAAGAGAAAAGGACATTGAGGTAGACGCATTACGGCAAAAATGCGAGACCTTATTGGCTATCCTGCAAACCTCTGGCACCGGGAATGAGGCTGGGGGTGTTAACAGTGATGAGTTTGAAAAGCTCTTACAGGAACGTGAATATTTAAAACAAAAAGTAAGCAAAATGTTGGAGTGGAAAAAGCAAGTTATCACTACCGTCCAGAATATGCACCACGAGTCAGCACATGCCCTAGAAGAGCTGCTTCAGCTCCAAGATCGAATGTTGGAAAACAGCAACAATAGCATTCAATTACAAGGGAACTATGATGACCTGATACAGAATTATGATCAACATGAAAACAAACTGAAAAATTTGAGGCGTGACTTGACACAAATGCAGCGTTATTTGGAGCAACTCTGCAATGCCAAAGACCTCTTCATGGGAAAACTTGATAGCCTTTCACCCCCACTGCATACTGGGTCATTGCCTCCTTGTGAGGCAGCAGGGCGTCTTGGAGCCAATGAATCTGATCAAAACAGGGAGACTTCTGTGTTGCTTCAGCAACAGGTAGAAGAGCTAAGAAGATCCCTGGAACAAAGAGACGTCAGCATCAGAGCTCTGCAGCAGGATAACCAACACCTGTCTGACTCCATCGCTGCTGCTGCAGAGCTAAAAAAGAAAGAGCACCAGCAGCACAATTCGGAGCTCAGGCAGCTGAAGCAAACATGTGATGTGCTGCAAAACCTCCTCAAGGAGAAAGAGCTCCTGCTCAAGAACCAAAGCAAGCAGCTGCTTTCCTCAAAGGAAAATCTGACCAACAAAGTGAATGAAAATGAAATTTTAAGACAATCAGAAACAGACTTGAAGGAAAGAATGCTCATTTTGGAGATGGAAATTTCAAAGTTAAAGGATGAAAACAACAGAAGAGTAGAAGAGATGAGGGAGAAGGAAAATGCATACCAAGCATTACAAGAGAGGAACACACACGAAGTTTGGGCTGCTGCACAGAGAGAGGCCAAACTTAGAGAAAATGTCATGGTTTTAGAACAAAAACTAGTTTCTTCCTTGGATGTGATGGAAACTGCCAGCCATCAAGCCAGCGCACAAATAGAATCCTTGCAGGCGAAGTTGAACATAGTCTCCAAGCAGAGGGACGAGGCTGCCCAACAGCTCTCTCAGGCTCAGGACCAGGAGAAGCAGTACACTGTGTCCCTGGGCAACCTGCAGATGGTGCGTGAGCACGTCCAGCATAAGGAAAAAGTTATGGATGCTGCTGAAGTGGAAAAACAAGAGCAGCTTGTACACAAATGGAAAGAAAAGGCTCAAGACCTGCAAGTGAAAGTTATTGACTTACAAGAACATTTGGACAAAGCAAACGCCGTACTGGATTCCACATCAAGACTAATGGAACAGTTGGAACACAAAGAAAGAGAAATCCAGGATCTTAAAAATCAAAATGAGCTTCAACAAGAAATGTTGGAGGATGTACAAAAGAAATGGGTAAATTTAGTAGATGGCATGGAGGGCAAAATCAACACAGTATTGGTGAGAAACCTTTTTATTAGGCAATTCCACACTCCGAAAAGTCAGCGGCCTGAAGTGCTGCGTTTGATGGGCAGTATTCTGGGCCTGAAGAGAGAAGAGATGGATCAGTTGTTTAAAGAAGACCAAGGTTATGCTACAAGATGGGTGAGTGGGTGGCTTGCAGGAGGAGCCCAAAGTGACCCCAACAAACCTCTCAGACCCAACGAGCAGTCTGTGCCCAACAACTCATTTGCGGAACTTTTTGTAAATTTTTTGCAGAGTCAGTCACACCCATCCACTCCACCACCAAAGCTTTGCACAAGTGAGATGAAACCTCTACATTCTACGGGAACAAGAGCAAGCACAGGTGTGCCAGAAACTTTTCAAGATTCAACCACTTCCAGTTCTGGTAGAAAAACAGGTGTGCATTCATTTTCAGCCACCTGCTCTGAGGCTGTGCCCCTTATTAGCCCAGCTGGATTTGGCCAGGGCCGACCTGGAAACCTTCTGCTGGAGCCCATTAAGAACTTCGTACCCACATTTACATCACTGCCAGTGCCGCCTAACAACAGCACTGCAGTTGGGATACAAGATCTTTCAAAGAAGTAGAGATCTCTGCCAACAGGGAAAGGAAAACCTTCATAGAACTTTTGTTTTGTTTTCCTTTGTTTTTTTTTTTTTTCCTTTTCTGTTCCTTCTTTTTTTCTTATGTTGTTCTTTGTTGTTTGGGTTTTTTTCCTACTTGTTTTAGTATTTTTAGTGTTTAAAATTTAAAATTTTTTTTCTTTTTAGTTTTTTCTTATTTTTCATTTCAGCATTTTTGCTTTTGTTTTTTCTTTTTTTCTTTTTTGTTCTTTGTTTTAGGGTTTTTTCTTATTTGTTTTAGTTTTTCTGTTTTCTTTGTTATTTAGGTTTTTGTTCTTTGGTTTTTTTGGTTGTTTTATTCTTTTTTGTTCTTTTTGTGTTTTAGGGTTTATTCTTATTTGTTTTAATTTTTCTGTTTGCATTTTAGGTGTTTTTGTTGTATTTTGTTTTTTCAGTTTTTTCCCATTCTATTTGTTTTCATTTTTTTCTTTTTCTGTTTTCCAGTTTTTTCTGTTCTTTTTGTTTTTTAGGTGTTTTGCTTAATTTAATTTATTGTTTCCTTTTTACTTTTTCTTTTTCGTTCTTTTCAGTTTTTTAGATTTTTGTTCTTTTTCTTTTAATTTTTTGTTTTTTGGTTTTTCTTTCTTTTTGTTACGTTCTTATTCTTTTTTGGTTTAGGTTTTCCATTTTTGTTTGCTTTTTAGTTCTTTGTTTTCTAGTTTTTAATTATTTCTGTTTCACTTTTTTGTTGGTTTCTTAATTTTTCTTTTTTTGTTCTTTTTCAGTTTTTTAGGTTTTTTCCTTTTTGTTTTAGTTATTTTTTCTTTTTTGCTCAATTTTTTCTTTTTTTCTTTTCTTGTTCTTTTTCGTTCTAGGAGAGTGTTTTTGTCTTTTGTTCTTTTTTCTTCTTTTTTGGGGTTTTTTGTTCTATGTTTTTCTGTTTCTTTCTTTGTTTCTTTTTGTTTGTTTCTTTGTATAAAACATAGCACTCTAAAGAAGGTTTGTTAACCCTATGTGAGGTCCCATGTCACCAAGTACACTACAAGACATTCATGTATTCACCATTTACAACGTAGCACTGTTAAGGTTTGTTAACACTATGCGAGGTCCCCTGACACCAAAGTGCCCTGCAAGATGTTTGTGTATTCACCATTTACAACGTAGCACTGTTAAGAAGGTTTGTTAATGCTCTGCCAGGTCCATGTCACGAAGTGCCCTACAAGACATTCATGTATTGTCCATTGTCAACCTCCATGTATAATAAAAACGTCCTAAATGCTTTCCACAGTTGCTGTCGTTCCTGATTTGATCTAATTTAAGCTAGAAATATTTACGTTTTATGTTAATTTACAAACATTGTATAAGGTCAAAAAGCTGGTATCTATGTAGCAGCTTTTTATTTCCCCTCTCTCAAGCTTGTTGAAACATGAGAAATGTCATGACCTGTTGCAGGTCAGAGAGACATTAATAGCAGAGGTGGCTGCCATGCACAGTGTGGGCACAGAGTGGAGGCACTGTGTGTGACAGGCTTATAGCTCAGGTGTCCCGGGAGGCTCTGGTGCCCGAGAAGGAGTGTACACTTGGTTCTGAGCATTCAGAAAGACCAACACCAGCTCCAGCAGCGAATGTGTCCTTTACCGCCTCCCTGTGCTGGCTCTTGGTGATCAGCACAAGCCCTCAGCTTGGTCCCTGCTGAGCCCCTGACAGCCACTAAGTCTTCTCAGCAGGTTTCACCCAGCAAGTTCCCCTGGTGTGGCTGCACCACTTCATGTGAATGACTCTGGTGTCTGTCCAAAGCCACATGTCTCCTGGCACAGCCAGGCAGAGCTTTCAGCCCAGCACTGGGCTGTGCAGCCACACCCGTGCACCTGCAGTGAGCAGTGGCACTGGAATCCCATGGAGCTGCTCTCTGCCTCTGCCTCAGATGCTGCTACCAAGGGAGGGAGAGGACCCAGGGGATTTCCTCCTCAACAGGGGCTTCCTGAGGATGACCCATCACCGCTCCAGGTGTTCAGAACTTAAAGAGTAAGAATATACTTCTTAAATTTTGCATGAGCCAGATATAAAAAAAAATCCTGACTTGAAGCTTAGCTGTATCAAGATGCTCCTATTTGTGTTGGTTGTTGAGGCTGTGCATTGAAAAAGACACTTCTTGCATATCTTGTGAATTTCAATATGCCTTTCAAACAGCAACATTTTGTGAGCAAGGAAAGGTGAAAACAAGACTAAATGTGTAAACAGCCCAGCTGCGACCGACTCAGTGTGGCTGCCTGTGCACTTGGCCGTGGCTAACGGGATATTTCTCATGTATTGACATTGGCTAAAACCTCTGTCAGCCATCCCTGCATAGCCTTGTGGGGAAGCTGGCATGCAGATCCTGGGACAGGACTGTTGAGCTGCCCCTTAGCTCACATGGGGTGATATGCTTTGAAACCCACCAGGTGGAAGGCACCGTGGATCACCATGGCAGGTGACACACCGAGCCTCCTGGATGTTCCAGCCCCACAGCATGGTGCACTGCGGGCGATGGCACTGCCTGGACATGACCGCATCATAGCATGCTGCACCACGAGAGAACGTGGGGCCGCAGACCACCAGCCTCGGGCAGGAGCCACATTTAGACTGAATCATGTGGCTGTCACAGTATGGAAGTTGAAGATTCAGAAGTGAAACCTTTGTGGGGTAGGGATCCAGTGTCACTCTCTGAGTTCTATATGCTCCTTACAAGGTGCCCCGCTGACTCTCCTGAATTACTTGCTGCTCACCACTGAATTTTTATTTCAGCATGGAGCAACAGAAATACTAGGTTATAAGTTAAAAAAATGTTCATGTTGAGAACATGCAGAAAGTTTTCATTTTGTAAAGGATGCACATGATGGTTATGTCATCATATTTGAAATGCATATCACCATACTTGAAATGACTTTAATGACATTCTGAATATTCTTTCCTGGTCAGTACAGCCTGTCTCCCCCCACTCCCACCTCATCCCCAATCCAGCACCTACCCCAGAGCTTCACATCAGTTTGGAAGCTGTTGCCGATGGATTGCATAGCCACATATCACAGAGCATGCTGTTACAAAGCCTCAGTTGAAAGCAGTAGCTCCTAAATAATGTCTGGAAGCATAGTACCCACATGTTTCCTCTGCCACTGAAGCTGGAGCTGAATGACGCGCATATCAGACAGAACTCATGGATTTCTGGAGCTGAGTCATGTCAGAGATGAGCCTTCTGCTCAAGGAATCTTTCCTGGCTAGGTGGCAAGGAAGCCTAGCAGTCCACTCCTAGCCCTCAGCCAGCCCAGCAGTGCCCTGGCTGTGGTGCTGTGGCCATAGTCATTCTGGAGTTTATTCCAAGTGAGCAGAATCTGGGGTTGGATTTTGCCGGAGCCACCAGTTTTTCACAACATTCCTGATCATTTTCAGCTATAGTTAATTGTCCTGTGCTGTAGTACAATTTTCATCTAGGCATTGGGTTTTGATTTCCTTGTTATAATAGCTTATCTTTTGGTGGTTTGAGTTTAGTTCCTACCATGCATGATTTAAAAAATAAATTTGAATTCTAATAGATCAGTGCTGCCCCAGAAGCCAGGAGCTGGGAACTTCTTTCTGGGTCTCCCACTGGAGCAGGAGCAGAGTCCCAAGGCTTTGGGCCATCCTCTACTGTTTTCCCAGGCCGCAAGCAGGGAGCTGGATGGGAAGTAGAGCTTCCAGGATACTAAGCAGCACCTATATTGGATCCCAGTGCCTTCAAGGTGAGGACTTTAACCATTATGCTATGGGGCTGTGCTCAAAATGGCATACTTTTTAATTAGTAAAACAACAACAAAAAAAATCAACATCTTTGATCAAGTATCTCTCAAAAATAAAAGCTAAATCAATGTGTTTTCAGATGAAGGAAAAAAAAAACATGAAAAAATCCCTAAAAGAATATCAAAAAGAAGATATTTAAACAAAAGACTAGAAACCAAAGGATTCCAGGAATCATAAGCTTTACTATAGCCACATGTCCCAAATCCCTAAATTCTTTTGTATCATGCCCATGACCCACTTATTTGCCTCTCATTGTTTTTTTTTCTGGGGTTATGAAAAAAAAAGTTCTAATTATATTTAAATTTAGCCCAAACCTTTGGAGCTTTCTGCTCCTTGACAACAGGCAAACCATTCGCTTGCTCACTCACAGATAATGTGTTCACACATTATTAAGTCTATGACAAAGAAGGACCCACTTCCAGAAGTGAGTCTATACTCAATAATGCCGTTATCTGACAGGCGTGATCTGACAGCTTTAGGAAGTATCCTTAGGCGTCTTAGGATGAGTCTCTGCTCTGCCTCCTACTGAGCAGGGCTCAGTAGCTGCTATGTAGCAGGGCTGTTGCTAAGGAATCAAAGAGAAGATCTCTCTCCCCTCCAGGGCAACACCAGGGAGGATCATCTGGTTACACAAAACAGAATATTTTGGATTTTTGTCCTTTTTTCTTGTGAGAAGATTGTGGTTTTAAAAATATTTCTTTTTTCCTTACTGGTTTGTGTTCTATTCGAGTTACCATGTATTGTGTCTGTTAGATAATGTCCACCGACCGACCGCCCGCTTGGTGAAATAATATCGGCAAGTTGTTCAGAGTTGAGATGGAAGCTTTATTGGAAAATCCGCTCCTGGGCCCTCTTCGCGCAGAGGGGAAGGAAGAGGGAAGCGAAAAGGGCGTCTGAGATACGTGTCTGGGAGTTTTATACCCATCTATACACGTGGGAGGGCAAAGGGGCTGTCCATGTCCCAACTATGCAAGGAATGTCCATTCAGGTGTGCCATTGGTCAACTGGAATCCCGCCAGGTAGGTGACGTAACTGGCTCCTGTGGCCCCTCCTCTTGTGGGGGCGGGGCAGACCCGCCCCTAGCCTCCAGTGCCCTGGGGAGCCATCATTCCGGACTCTTGGTAATAGGAAAGGGGGCGACGAAGTCGTTCTGGCTACTTCCTGCTGAAGGGGGGGGCGTAGTCCCTAATTGTGGTCCGGAGAGGGCTCCG